ACGCGCAGGTTCAGCGGCCATGGCTCACAGGCCTAGCCGCTCCGTGGCATGTGGGATCTTCCCAGACCAGGGCACAAACCCGTGTCCCCTGCATCGGCAGGCGGACTCTCAACCACTGCGCCACCAGGGAAGCCCGGATTTAGTTTTCTTGCCTAAAATTAATGAAGTGTTCTTTAGTAAATATTCTCCAAGTTTCTCTCCCATACCAGTGTTCCCTGATTCCCACCACATTTTAGTGAAACAGGATGGTTCAGCCAATGCCATCCAGCTTCAAGTCTTGCGCGAGGTTGAGAAGACTCGATGGGGGGGATGTAGGGAAGTAAGAGTCTCTCCACCTTCCTGTTTTGGAGGGAGAAAGCAGAGGTGAAGTGGTAACCTCGCCTTGAAACTCTCTCTCAGCCCTAAGGCAATAGGATATCTTCTGTAGGTTGGGAGAGGTGAGGAAAAGTAGAGGGAGTGGAAAACCCCTTAAACTGAATTGGGGATGAGCTGAATGTGTGTTGTGGTATACTTTTAGGGTAAAGTTGGGTATGGGGAGGGGGTATCTGGATGAAGGGACAGGTGGTGACAGAAGTTCAAGTCCTGGAAACCTTTTCCAACTTTACTAAGATTTTTCACCATTGCTGCCTACTATCTGTATCAAATGTGGTACTTTAGAGTCACTGAAATAAAGGGATAGTTCTCACACAATTGTTGGACATCTTAAAGCCAGAGTTCTGTCTTGACAAAAACTCTCTCTTTGGCCAAAATCTGGTCAACTTCCTTTGAGCCCTCTTCTCAACTAGGTCTCAATCTTGGCCTCTAAATACTATGGACTTTCAGCACAAATGATTTTGTCTACACCACCCACCCCACCCACTCACCCCTACACACCAAGAGATTTGAACAAACACCAGGATAGTTTTTAACAGCTCGAGGCCACATTCTTAGGATGACCCCAGCCCGCCTTAAAATGCCTGCCTGAGAAAGTGCAATACTGCCTGGAGAATTTACTGTTTATTCCAGCCAAAACTTGGTGACAGCCAGACAGGCCACAGGACCCCCTCTTAGAGCAGTTACTTTAGAAAGCTTGCAATTATAAATCCTTTTCTGCTTCCTATATCTTTGAAATGCAAACATTCAAAGAGATAACTCTTACTCCCAGCTCAGTGGACAACTTGCTCTAACTTGCTCCACGGCCTCTTGTGATAAAGATGCAAAAAGTTTGTCTTCTGCAAAATTCAACATCCATTCATCATAAAAACTCTCATCAAAGTGGGTAAAGGGAACATATCTTAACATAATAAAGACCATTTACAACAAACCCACAGCCAACATAATGCTTAACAGTAAAAAGCTAAAAGCCTTCCCACTAAGTTCAGGAACAAGACAAGGATGCACACTCTTGCTGCTTCTATTTAACATAGTATTGGAAATCCTAGTCACAGCAATCAGACAAGAAAAAGAAATAAAAGGTATCCAAATTGGAAGGGAAGAAGTAAAACTGTCACTATTTGCAGATGACATGATACTTTATATAGAGAACCCTAAAGTCTCCATCCCAAAACAATTAGAACTAATCAATGAATTCAGCAAGGTTGCAAGATTAATATACAGAAATGCATTGTGTTTCTATATACTAATACTGAAATATCAGAAAGAGAAAGTTAAAAAAAAATCCCATTTAAAACTTCATCAAAAAAATCCCCACAGGGCTTCCCTGGTGGCGTAGTGGTTGAGAATCTGCCTGCTAATGCGGGGGACACGGGTTCGAGCCCTGGTCTGGGAAGATCCCACATGCCATGGAGCAACTAGGCCCATGAGCCACACCTACTGAGCCTGCGCATCTGGAGCCTGTGCTCCGCAACAAGAGAGGCCGCGACAGTGAGAGGCCTGCGTACCGCAAAAAAAAAAAAAAAAAAAGAGTATTTCCATGAAACCCAAAGTTCCCTTGTGTCTCTTTGTGGACAATTCCCTCCTCCCATTCCTAGGTCCTAGCAGTCACTGATCTGATTTCTGTCTCTATACACATTGTATTATTTAAATTTATTTTTGCATTTTCCCCTCTAAGCCTTATTTGTGTACACATCTTTCTCTCAATAGGTTGTTATCTTGCAGCTAGAGAGCTGTAATCATTCCCCTTTGTATTCCTCATCATTCCAAGCACAAGTTCCAAGCACATTTATTACATGCCAGGTCATAAATATTTAATAAAAGAAAAAGGGAAGAAAAGGAAAAGAAGGAACGAAGAAAGAAAGAAAGAAAGAAAAGAATGAGCCAGAGAACAAATAGCCAAATGGTCCTAGGAGAGTTCTGATTTAACAACAGGGCAATCAACAGGGCTTGTGCTAGTTTAATGAAGTATAGAGTTATTAATCTGAACTATAAAAGTAGCTAATCAAACACCTAATATAAAATATATTAAAGTTTGAATCAGCAAAACTGTCACTTTTTTGGGGAAGGAAGTCTTAATGTAAATGACATATAAGGTGTAGTACGGGGTGGGAAACACCCACTCACCACTGCCTCTGATCTCCTTGCATACTACAACATCACAACTATGATATGAGGCATTCTGTCCTTGGTATACAGCAGGTACACTTAAAACTTTCAGGAAGCGGGCTTCCCTGGTGGCGCAGTGGTTGAGAATCCGCCTGCCATTACAGGGGACACGGAGCAACTAAGTCTGTGCGCCTCAACTACTGAGCCTGCGCTCTAGAGCCCATGAGCCGCAACTACTGAAGCCCGCGCGCCTAGAGCCCGTGCTCCACAGTGAGAGAAGCCACCACAATGAGAAGCCCACGCACTGCAACGAAGAGTAGCCCCCGCTCACGCAACTAGAGAAAGCGCGTGCGCAGCAACGAAGACGCAACACAGCCACAAAAAAAAACTTTCAGGAAGGTAATTACCATTTACTAAGTGCTCCCAAAGTCATTGTACTACATGCTTTTTAATGTTTCATTTAAATCTAACGACTACTCTCGCTTAGGTTAAAGTTACTAGTTATTTCTTGGGAAAGGAAATAAGTAATTAAAGGAAGTATAGGGTTCTACCTCCAAGGGAAGGAACAGGTTAGAATTTTTATCTTTGGCTCAAGATGAATTCTTTTTTTTTAAATTAATTAATTAATTATGTATTTATTTATGGCTGCATTGGGTCTTCATTGCTGCATGCGGGCTTTCTCTAGTTGTGGCTAGCAGGGGCTACTCTTCGTTGAGGTGTGCGGGCTTCTCGTTGCAGTGGCTTCTCTTGCTGCTGAGCACGGGCTCTAGGTGCACGGGCTTCAGTAGTTGTGGCATGCGGGCTCTTAGAGCGCAGGCTCAGTAGTTGTGGCGCACAGGCTTAGGTGCTGCGTGGCAGGATCAAACCCGTGTCCCCTGAACTGGCAGGCGGATTCTTAACCACTGCACCACCAGGGAAGTCCCTCAAGATGAATTCTTTAGAGATTTTCTGAGTTTTTCTTCTGTGAAATCACAATAAGCAGGAAGGGACGAGAGTCTAGGGTAATAAACACTTTTTGACGTCTATCATTGATCCATTCAGGGTACTTCTGACGTGTTGACCACGTTCATTTCAGAAGCCAACATGATGAGAAGGAATTCTAGTGTACTGTTTAATGAGGTGGTCAACTAAAGCGCATGCGTTAAATTTGTGCGTTAAAGGGGTGTAGTTAGTAAATGGGTAGAAATAAGAACTGCCTTCTTTCCATATTTTGGTGTCATGGGAATTCAAAGTGATCATGCAACCACTCTTTTGAGATAATTTTCTCGGTTCTTAGAACAAGTTGGAAGATAAACTTTCGCCAATATATTACACTATGCCCTGTGTAATTAAGTAACCCGAGATAATGTGTTAAAGTTTAGTGGAGATTTAAATTCCTGAGCTGATTAAAGAGAGCTGTTAAGACAATAAGCTTTTTTAAAAATGTAGTGTTAATATTACTCCTGAAGTTTCCAGATATTGTATAGTGATGATCTGCGCTATTGCTTATTACTTGTCAATCTTGTAGAATGGCTCAGAATTAAATAACAACTGAAAATAAGTATAACTCAACCTGAAGGCTGGAACCAGGGCAGGAAGATCACGATTTTTGTCTGGCTCCAGGTTGTGCTCCATCCACGCAACGTGGAGGCACTGAAAGATGTAGGGTTAGGGATGGAAATGTTTCAGGAAGATACGTCTAGATATGGGTGCAAATGGCATGGGGCAGAGAAGAGACAGAGGCAGATAGTCCACTCGGAGGCTGCTGCAATATCCAGGCTGACGTGATCAGAGAGGGGCTGGAAAGGGAATGGTAAGAGATCAAAAAAGAAAATGGTAGTGCTTGCGGCCAACACTGGTCGATGATCAGACCCAGTGGGGTTGGGTGAGTGAGGAAGAGAACTGAAAGAACGGCTTCGTGTTTTCCAAAGTTTTCCGCAGAGGCCCCTGGACTCTTCTTCCATCCTTAGAGCGGAGGTCCTGGGACCAGCCGGGAAGCTCAAGCCTCAAGCTGGTCAGGCCAGCAAAAGGCGAACAGGAGGCAAGACCTTCCCTCCGCCTAGGCACTCAGGCGGTCCCTCGGGTTCCAACCCCTCTCTCCCCGCAGCTCAGGGTCCCCTGATCCCCACCCCCTTCTTCCGCCAGCGGCCGACACATCCCTCCGTCCCTCCCCTCCCCCGTGGGGCGCTGACTCGCCTGGCTGCCACGTCTCACTGATGACATCACCAGGGCCGCTCGGCCTTAGCCAATCCGCTAGGGGGAGTCCTAGCAAAGTCCTAGCCAGCGAGTCCGTGGGGAGGGGAGCAGGGAGGAGCGGAGAGGGGGGTGTTGGGAGAGGGGGGGAATAGGGCGGGCGACAACCCCTCAAGTACGCGTGCGCCAGAAACGCGGGGCTTGGCGGGAAGCTGAGTCCGGGTCGCGGCGCCGTACCGTCGTTCCCCAGCGCCCGCAGCGACGCTCGCAACTCTCTTTCCCGGCATGCCACGCGGTGCGGCCGCCCTTTGGGCTGTGTAAAGGCCCCTTGGTCTAAGGCTTTCCTATTTCCTGGTTCGCCGGCGGCCATTTTGGGTGGAAGCGATAGCTGAGTGGTGGCGGCTGCTGATTGTGTTCTAAGGGGACGGAGTTGGGGGAAGGCGTTTGCTCTCTCGGAACAGCGTATCTCATTCCTCTCCCTTCGACTACCCGTGGCGCGGAGAGTCAGGGCGGCGGCTGCAGCAGCAAGGGCGGCGGTGGCGGCGGCGGCAGCTGCAGTGACATGTCCAGCATGAATCCCGAATAGTGAGTGCAGGAGAGCGCCGGTCGGCTGGGTCCGTGGGCCAGCTTGGGAAAGCTTAGAGAGGGCGAGGAGGGCGGAGGCGGGGCCCTCGTCCGGGGTGAGGTGGGGGTGATGGGGCAGGAGAGGTTGGCGGCGGGGAGTCGGGCCCCATTGTCTGACGGAGGAGGGGCGGTCGGGGGGAGGGATCGGGTCGGAGGGGTGAGCCGTCCGGGCCTGGACCCGGTCTGGTTGGAGTCGGCCGGTGCTGAGGAGCAGTCTGGTAAGGGGGTTGGGGCGTCGGGGAGTCGGTGGTGGGGTCGTGGGAAGGGGTAGCTTCTCTTGGAGGCAGTGACTTTTGAAGGAGGGCCTGTTTTTAAGGGGAGGGAGGGGATGGGGTGGGAGAACTCTCCTAGAGGATACAGTTAGACCCTGCGCGGAGCTGTCAGAGCCGTCGGAGTGGAAACCAGCGTTACTTGCAAATCTTGAGCTTGTTGGCTCTCTCTTCCACCCTCCGCGCCAGGTTGTAGGTAATATGGATGCTTTTCAGGATTGCGTGGGATTTAGGGGAATGGGTAGATGGTGAGAAGAGATTTAAATTTTTTAGTTCTCTTTTTTAGTTTTTTCCTGGAGTTCTTTACGAACTCAGCGGTCCCATTGCCTTCCCAAAAACCTGGGCATTTGTGAGAGTTTTTTATTTTTTTTGAGGACACTACAGTCATTTTGCCATGTGTAGGTCAAGGGAAAAACAAAACACCAGCACTAAAACCTAGGGACATCTTTGTGATATTACCAACTAAAAGGAAGACTTTGGTTTCAAGTTGAAAGAGAAACGAATGGGCCCTATGATAGATCTGTAGGGTTTGGATTACCAACTTGAATGCTTGCAGATAGGAAATGAGGTTCCATGACGTGTCATGAAAAGTTAATGCATTTCTTTTTCTTGCTTACTCAGTAAGTCACCACAGCAGATGTGACACACCTGGCACCTTTCCTGGGAACTGGTGTTCACTTTCCTTGGGAAGACTTTCTTGGGTTCGCCTTAATGGCCCTTAAAAACATCCTTCTACAGTTTGCATATTGAAATTAAGGACTAATTGAAGGAGATTTAATTGGTATTCTTCTATAGTGTCAGAAGGCTTTGAGGAATTTTTTAAAGCAAAGATCAGTATTTGACGTAAATGTTGAATTTATTTGCTGCTTTGGTCAGTTACTGCCGAACATTTCCCCTAAAAGGTCTGCCCATGGGTTTAGCTGACTGTCATGTGTGTGTCACATGGCTCTTGCAAAATGCATTCTGACTTCAAGTTTTGTAATACTGTGGTTTGACGCTGAAGTGTCCCTTTTTTGTTTTTCTAAATAGAAGCCATAGTATTTTATTAAACTTTTATATACCTTAAGAAGTTGAAGACTGTTCTAATAGTGTCAGATTTGCTGTGTTGGCAGTTTTTTATCAAGGGCTTCAAGGACAAAGTTGGTTACGTATAGTTCGTCAGAGTTGAACTTGAGGTCCCTAATTTAGTAGTTTTCCTGGCAACAGTAAAGTACATGGATTTTCCATTTTATGGAGGTTTGTCTTCTGTTCAGGGAGTTTCTTAAATTTGCTACATATATTTAGTACTGTAAATAGATCTTGAAGATTAGTTGGACAGAACCATGACAAATGATTTAGACTCTGAATTTGTTTCTCCTTTTGTAAAATAGGAGTCATCTTTATTCCTATCCAGGTAGTTGTGAGGCTCAAGTATATATAGAACAATTTGGTAAACTGTAAGAGCACTGTAGATGGTGTACATCATTATGTGAGTCATTCCAGTAGTGCTGGGATTTAGGAATATAATCCTTACCTGCAAGGAACTTATAATGGAATATAAAAAATAGATTTTATGTATGTTAAATACCAGTACGTATGGCGAGTTCCAGATGTGTGGCATGGATTGGAGCCACAAGATTTTAAAAGAAGGTATGGGATTGTGGTTGGCTAGTAGGGTTTAGAAAGACTTTATAGAAAACAAACCAGTAAGGGAGTTACTAGCATTAGATTTGGAGAAGCTGTGGGAGTGAGAAGAATTGTTCAAGAGAGAAGAAGAAAGAAGAATGGTTAATAAATGGCAAGGGTAGTAATTCTTAAGTAAATAGAGTGCCAAACCATTCTTTCTTTTGAGGACTCTAGATTAATGACCTCAACAGAATCAGTCCCAGAAATCATTTGTATATTTTTATGGCCTTGAGTGTGCCTGTACCTGGGTTACTCTATTTATATTCTAGACTGTCTCTTAAGTAAAATAACCTAGGAGTTTGGGAAAATGTTTGGAAAAGCACTAGTGAAAAGTACTAAGGTGAGAGGAGGTGGTATTTTATTACAGAAGGTCACAAAGGCAACCAGCAAGCAGATTTTTAGAAATCTGAGTTCAGCGGTTTCTTCTTTTTATCTTTAATAAAGTTTGTTACCATCATAAAAGTAGAGAAAAATTGGAAAATAGAGAAAATAAGGAAATTCTTACAGTTTAATCACCCAAACACAAGTCCATTTGCTTTAAAACCTTGTTCTAAACTTTAAAGTCGCATGTTTTTTCTTGTTAAAACTTTTAATGGATGAATGCCTTTCATGATTCCACAGTGTTATCCTAATAGCTAACATTTATGGCCACTTATTATATGCCAGGCACAATATTGTACATTATAATACATGTATATTATAGTGTACACTTTATATACTAATTTGAAATAATAGTATACTAGGTAATGTTTACAGGTGCACCCCCAAATGTTCCTTGTTTTGGTTTATCATCTATTTATCTTAATCCTTTTAGAAACTTTCAAAATCTGCTTTATGTGTGCTGCTGAATTTGGTACTGAAGATGTGTTCTTGACAAAAGAAGTTTGGTTCTCTCAGGATGAACAGGATTTTAGATTTATATAGGTTGACATATGATTACTTGTTGGTAACGTTATTACGGAGTGCTTTTACTTTATGATCTTTAAGTTGTAAGCTTTTGGTTTGGGAGTGAGGAGAATAAGAAATATGTCAATCAATGATTAAATTTTAAGCTTTTTCTTTTACTACTTTCTATGTTATTTGGCTGATTTGGGAGAAATGATGGCCCTGGGTTATCTTTATGGTAGAAATTAAGGATAATGACTGACTCACTTGAATTACAAATGCTACAAACAAAAACAAAATGCAACTGAAGTGGAATCTGAGTGGTGGAAAAAGTAGATGGAAAGGATCAGAGCTTTCTTTTTTTTCTGGAGATTTGAGGAAAGATTTTGATTTTCCTGAGCTAGGTGGTAAAGCAGGCAGTGATTATTTCAGCACACTGCTTAAGAAGTACTTAACATTATTCTCATATCAGAAGCGTTTTTCCTAATCCATTAGCTTCTAGCAGATTTTTTTTTTTTAGTGTCAAAATAATTTTGGCCGTTTCATCAAGGAGTGTGTTAAGAATAAAGTAGGTGTACCTATCATGAATATACCAGTTAACTACGGTAGGAAGAACTATATGTAGTAGTCTCTTTGGATCGGCTAGTTTAATGCAGAAAAAATTTGTTTAAAAAAAAAATTTACCTTGTTTTTAACTTTTTAAAATATCATGGCTTAAGTTTTAGTCAGTCTCTTAAACTTTGTTTTCTGTCATGGTAGACTCAAGGAACATCTGACTTTTTTTTTTTTTTTGTCAGCACTCTGCTTTGAATAAATCTGTCTTTTAACTTAAGGGTTTAAAGGTAAAAACAAGTTAATCAGTTCTGTTATCTTTCTGACAGAGTGTAATTTCATTAATAAGTATATCATTACTGCCTTTTACATAATTTTTAGTTAGAATTTTTTTTATTAGAAAAGCAGAAATCAACTAAAAATAGATTTTCTTTTTGTAGGTTGCCTTGATGACTTTTTCGTAGTGTTGGTAATGATTTGAGAAATTCAAAGTTTAAAGAAGAGGTATTCTCACTATTCAGAATATGATTATTTAATGTCCGTAGAGAATCAATGTATGTAATTCTTTGGGTAATGTAAGTTACCAGTAGCTATATAGACTTTCCATCTTAAGAGTTTTGTGTGAATGGATGATCTTGAAGGATCATTGAAAGAAACTGAAATTTTGCATTTAAAATTTTCTTCTTCCTTTTCATCATAATTAGGTTAAAGTATAAGATGTTGACGGTTTCTTACATATTGAAGGTTTTTTGTTTTGTCTTAAAGATGGAAGAGCTTCAGAATCAAGTGTTCTCTTGCCAACTGTTTAGTTGACTTTTAAAGAGAATTTTGCTTTCTGAGCAATTTCTTTAATATTTCAGTTTTTATTCTAGAAGCAATCTTAGTGATTTATCTAAGTGATTATGATTAACAAGTGCTAAGCATCTTGCTGGATTCATATCCTATCAGCAGTCCTTTGGCCATGTGTGTTTTCTCTCCTTGGCAACTTTTGATTGTACATATATGATGGTTTTACTATTTGTAGTTGTAATAGTTAAGTTTCATTTTTGATAGTTAAGAATAGCTTCCTTTTGCTAATGTTACCTACTCTTGTCTCTTTCCTAATATATAAAAACAGGGTTAAATAAAATGCTTTTTAAGATTTTGAGATTTTTAAAGATTTGCTAAAAAATACTTTGAGTGTTTTAAGATGAAGAGAAACTGAAAATGTCCCCCCCCCCCCCCCCCCCCCCCCCCCCCCCCCCCCCCCCCCCCCCCCCCCCCCCCCCCCCCCCCCCCCCCCCCCCCCCCCCCCCCCCCCCCCCCCCCCCCCCCCCCCCCCCCCCCCCCCCCCCCCCCCCCCCCCCCCCCCCCCCCCCCCCCCCCCCCCCCCCCCCCCCCCCCCCCCCCCCCCCCCCCCCCCCCCCCCCCCCCCCCCCCCCCCCCCCCCCCCCCCCCCCCCCCCCCCCCCCCCCCCCCCCCCCCCCCCCCCCCCGCCTTTTGTTTTTTAATCTTACAGGGAGAGGGGAACAGTCAGACTATTCCACTGTTTTCTTGTAGAAGGTGGGGCTGAGAAGAGATTGCTTCTTTGATATCTGGAATAGAATTTAG